AGGCTCAGGCTAGCACCCAGGTATCCCATTTATTTTTCTGCTCCTCAGCAAAGTCTTATGGGCTGGCTGCTTGCTTGCCTCTCTGTGTGTTCTTTGCATGCAGCTACATGTATCACTCATCGGTCAATCCACCACTGGCTGCTACATCTTCCACCCCACCAATCACAGTGGGCATGAGCTAATATTGCTGCCTCCACTTGTACCCCCTAGCAGTGAGAAGATGAGCTGACCAAGAGGGGAGAAAAGAAGAAAGGTACACCACATACTATTGCTTGAATAAAGAGCACATTTTTATTGAATTCAGCTGAAGAACTTTTGTAGGGCGTAAGGGGAATAAGGCATCAGTTGACCCAGCCTAGCTATTGGGAGAAATCTTGGGATGACAGGCTGTGGGAGCTCAGTTACTGCATGATTCTCCCTACTGTCTAGTTGGTGATCTGGATGTAGATCTCTGTTGTACTATTGTCACTGACAGATCTTCATCTGGTGGAGTTTAGACTCACTGGAACTCAGAGTCTCTGCAGGGGTATGGGGACCGATTAAGATGGTCTGCCCCAGGAGGCTTATGGGTCCCATGGTTTTCTGATGGCTTTTGTGGAGCTTCCTGTTGCCTTGGCAGGTGAATCTGTTGAAGCCCGTGTTGATCTCTGGAATGGGGAAATGACCAGGGTTTTTGACACATTGCTTCTAAGTGTCCATTCCCACAAAGTATAGCCAAACTCCCCCCGCCCCAGCTTACTGGGGAGCTGGTAGTGATGAAACAAATGGGATGAAGACTAGAGTGATGATAGTGGAAAACCTGGAGTGAATCTGACTGAACCCTGGCTAAAGCCCACTGGAAGGCCTATTCTGTGGCAGTGCAGTGGGAAAGAAGTCATTCTTTGCTGCCACCATTGTGTCTGCACCCAGTGGAGCTCTTCTGGGTGGTCCATGGCCTGTTACATCATGGCCCACAGTGCTGACCACTTGGTAGTTTGCTAAAATTGCACAACACTTTGCAGGCAAAATCACTATGAAAATAGTTTTTTTTCCTGATTTTTGTCCTTTTACTGTGCTATATATAGCATGTAATCAAGGTTTTCTGTATACAGGGGGGGGGCTTAGAACCAATCCCCAACGGATATGGGAGTCCTACTGTATATAATAATAAATAAAGAATAAATAAAGAATAAATAAATATCTGTGAGGCAAGTGGGTTCAAACCCACCCACCTGAGTTGTTTTGGCTTCATTACCTGGAAGCCTTCACCGCCAGGACACTTTAAGTGCAGTCAACTCTAAAGGAGTAGAGTTAGACTCAGAGGCCCATTTCCTCCAAAATGGATCTGGCCTAAAGCCAGCATGCTCACACCAATTGGTAACGAGAAGTTTAAAGCCATGAATATAAACCCTTGAGTGTTATCGAGCCCAAAAACTACCACGCAAACTGAGAGGGAATGGGAATGCTGCCAACAAAGCAAGTGCCAGGAGTGTGCTGTGTGGCTGAATTTAAGACAGGAAAATGGACTAGAAAGGAAGTCTGTAGTTTGCCCTCCAGGTCTCATAACTTTCCTTCATCTTAATTGGACAGGTGGGAGAAATCTGCTTCCATGATTCACTGTGCAACGCACCAGCCCTAGGGAAGAAGCCCTTATTGCAGAAGAAGATGGCAACTCCTCTATGTTGAGTTGCCCTCCTCAGGCAATAACTGATATCCTGCCAAGTTTAGGGCACATATATTTCTTTCCTTCCTATGTTGCTCCCTATGTGCTTACATTTAAATTGTAAGCTTCTGGGTAAAGGACCTGTCCTCCTATACTCTGTGAAATGACATGGCCATTAATGGTATGTTTATATAATTACCAGAGAAGGTCAGTTTAATCAATCTAATTAATGATGTTTGGAAGCCTTAAGACACTGAAAGGAGAGACAATATATGGCAAAGTATCTTTTCCAGTCTACTGAGTTTCTCTTTATAGCCTTCACACTATGCAGCGTGCACTGATCTGAGAAACTGCCCATTGCATCTGTTCCTTACTAGTCTAAGCTTCAGGCCATCATTTTCAGTATGACTTGTTCACCAGCCAATGACAGCAAATCCTCATTATGTAGCTGTGCAATTAACCATGGGTCATGGCTACTGACCAAGTTCAGAAAACTCATAACAGGACTACTACAGAAAAGGAATTAGAAGTAATATACTGTCATCTTCCTTCTCTTTCCAAATATAACACTCACAGGAAGAATGCATCGTTCACACATAAATGAAGAGTTGTAATGGAAATTCTGATGTTTTACAATTTGTTGGCTGGAGCACATTAGTAATCCCGAAGTAAATGCTTTTGTCCATCTATCCAAATATTTATAAAATAAGTCTGAAGACAGCATCTTATTATTGATCTTTGCAAACAACTCTGATAATGTTTTCTTCCTGAAGGGCATGTAAAAATGGTATTGTTGTTGTTACTGTTATTGTTATTAGCTGTCCACTGTGTACTAGGATTTCTGCTTTACACTGAATGGGTAATCCTCTCAGCTTAATGTGCTAATATATGGGACAAAATCATGACTATTCCAGTTGAGGCATCAAGTGCCTTCCAGTTAAACCCATTCCTGCTGTGACTAATCAGCTTTCCCAGCACAACATACTAAGGTTATCTGTCAGCACTTCACCTTATTTTTATATCCAACTAAATAAAGATACTTTATTTGGGGGTAAATTATATACTGTCAGGTGCCTCAGAAGTGTACTTTTTGTACAGAAAAATGTTTATGGAAAGGAGGTGATATATACCCTTTCCTGGCATGAAAGGAAAAATAGCTGGTAGAGATTTCTATACTGATATCCTGCCAAGGGCCTCACTGAATCTTCTAATTTTCTACAGAGTTCAAATTCCAGATGTCTTATGGTGCCTTTGCACCAGAGTGATAATTTATGCATCATCAAAAAGAAAGGAAGGGAAAGGAAATGTATTCTCCAAAGTCCAATTTTCACTTTGTCTTTCCTACTGACCAGTCTCCTTCTCATCATACCAACGACTTTTTATCTTTTCTCTATTAATTTTTTTAAACTTTGGGGGAAGTAGGTGAAATCCAGAAGCTGTTTTTCCTTCCACCCTCCTCACTCTCATCCAGCTGCCTCAAGTCCCTCTGGAGAAAAGCTAGTGCTGATTTTCAAGAGAAAATTGGACAACCATCTGTCAGATATTTTTGAATTTGGATTCCTACCTTGAGCAGGGAGTTGGACTCAATGACCTTATAGGCCCCCTCCAATTTCTTTATTCTGTGGCTCTATGTAGTCAGGTGGCACAAATAAAACTTAATCTAAATTAATGAAAAACTTCACTTTTAACTCTAAGGCTTTCTAGGGCTCAATTTGCCCTTGGGAGGCCCTTGGGAGTCACAGAACAGGTGGGGTGAGTCAGTTAATAGTCAAATATTGCTATCATGTTGCTGCTGGTGCAATTGGCACTCCCAACAGTGACCTAGCAACAATTTTTGACTAGTGAAGTCTTCCCCCTCCTTCCCAATGGGACCCAAAGGCTTCTCCAGGGCAAAAGGGAAGCCTCAGGACCTAAAACCGGGAGACAGGAAGCTTTCAATGGATTTAAATGAAATGTCACCAGTGCCAGATGATGACATCATTCACTTCCGCTGGCATATATTTACACCAACAGGATTTTGGCCAACGATGCAGAAAATCAATTGAAAAGATTTTGAAGAAGTACAGTTTCAAAGGAAGAGTTGGTTTTGGAAGATGGAAGAGAAAGAAACTTTTTTCAAGAAAACAGACAGATATGTATGGATGCAGCTTAATTAAAACTAGAAACACAATCTTACAGTAGACTCCTCTACATTTGTTGAAGAGATATGTGCCCAAATGTAAACACAGATATATTGTTGAGATATATTTTGAAAAGCACAAATAAGCAAATTTGCCACAATTTGCCAGTTTAATTGATTTTTCCATGCCACTATGTTAAATGATATTATTGAAGAATGTGGTATATTATTAGCCTTACAGATTTATACACTTGCTTATTATACACTCAACTGCACACCAACCACAGTAATTCAAATCTAATAATGCCTGTAAAAATTTCCATTAATAATATAGCCAGTTATTAAGGCACTAGAATGTGGACATATACAATTGTAATGGATTTTTAAAATGGATACAGACTTACTGTGCTTGGATACCCTAGTACTAGTGTGTTTCAGTAAAAAGTAACATACCTTTTCTGATGTAAATTTGAACCTATGGCTCTGTGAAAACGTGTGCATTAATTATAACACATGCACATTATAAAGGTTCAAATAAGGGAAATATTCTAAAAGCCAAGGAATGAAACTGTATGGTCTAACAATGACATCTACAATTAATACTATCAATTGTTATCATTCCTCAACAAATATTGGGAATAGTAATTAATTAATACTGAATCCAAGGTTTGTTTCATTTAAAATGGAATCTTATTGCAGCTAAGAGTGCATAGAACTATAGCCTATTTCTACCTGCAAAATTACTGATCATTTAAAAATAATTTTTAATAATTAGTTACTTAAAATATTGCAGTTTTAAAACTCATACATTCATCCTAAAACTCAACATGAGCATTACAAAAACTAATTCTAAAAATATATAGAATGTATTTTTGTATTATAGGGAGATATACTCATGTAAAAACTTCGGATTATGTCTTTGCTTGCAGCAGCTTGGAGGATTATATCCTTCAAGATGACTTTTATTTGTTTGTGTTTCTTTAAGCACCAAATACATAACTCCTCTACACTGCCATCCAATGTTACATTATTATAAAAGCAATCATTATGGTAATGAAGACCAGCTACTTAGACTACATCATTAAATTAATCATATATTATCAAAGGATATTTTCAAAGCATTGCTTTTCTTCTGAAAGTTTTGTTCTCTGCTTTAAGAAGAGAATTCTCACATCCTCCACAAACGTTACTACTTAGCAACACACAAATGCATGGAAATTAGAATTCAGTTGAAATTACCTTAATAACCAAATCAAATTTCTGGTGCAAATCCCTGTTTATTGGCTTTAGGAGGCTGAGTACAGCTGTCGTAGCATTCATACTGAAATATTGTGAATAATCCTCAGGAGTCCCTGTAAAAAAGATAGTGAGGTTTCAGCAAATAATTGAGATGAAGGATCAGTATGGAGAATCACAACTTTATTTGGAAATATATTCACTTCATTTGTCAATAAGGGAATAACATTAATTCTGTTGGGTAAACCCAGAATGAAGTATGCCTACTTAACAAAGCAGCAAACAACCAATGGGTCTTTTCTTTTGCATCTTGATCTGTATTTTCAATGGGTCTGGGAATCCTTGGAATACATTTCCTATAACAAAGGTAAAAGTGAAAATGCCCAGGTGCCAATATGTTACTAGAGTAAATCTGATCAGAAGCTTTAGCACAAAACAGAGGAAGCTACCTCATATACAGTCAGGTCAGTCATTATAGTATATACTGTGGATCCTTGATTTACGGAATTAATCCGTATTGGAATGGTGGCTGCAGGTCAAAAAGTCTGTAGATCGAAGCTGCATTGAAAATCGATTAATCCGTAACCGGCCATTTTTGTTCCATTTTTTCCCCCGGTGTCTAGGTCGATTCTCCGGCTGCAAGTCGAACCTGAATTTTGCAGCCAGAGAAGTCTGTAACTTGAAAAGTCTGTAAGTGGAGCCGTCTGTAAGTCGAGGGTCTGCTGTAGCAACCTCTCAAGCCTGTCTCACTGGCAGTTTTGATAGGTTTTTCCTTTCTCCAAACCCGTCCAGAAATATTGGATCACAATGCCCATAATCCACAGCCAGCACTGTCCTGGTCCATAATGTTCCAGGATGCTGGGGACTATAATCCAATATCTCTGGCTTGGGAAAGGTTAGTCAACACTAGACAGCAGTGGTTCTCACAGAAAAATGAAGATTTTGGCCAGCTCTATTGGTTTTCAGAAGCTCCCTAAGGACACATTCATTTTTATGAATATTTGAATATTGTTAGCAATTTTATAATTATTTTTCTGGTATTATTTTTATAACTATATATTTTATACTTTTTTGTTTCAATGTTTTAACTGGTTACTGTAAGCTGCTCTTTGAGGCTAGCCACTGGAAATGTTAAAATAACAGATCAAATCAGTCAATATTACCAGAGGGCTCAGCCTCATATTTCCTGCATGTGGACCCTGTGTTCTGCTACTGGTCTTATAACTATTCTCCTAAGACTCTTCCAAGTTTCTGAAGTAAACCTGTGGCATCTTTCAAAGTTTTTCCTTTATAGCAAAGAATGTAGGTGGCATTTCCAGTATTTGGAAACTGCCAATAAGAAAACGACAGAAATATTGTTGCCATATGCAGACCTATTTATGCTCATGGGGGTTGGGGAGAAAAACTCTGAATGGAAAAAGGAATAAAGGTGACATTTATTTGCAATGCAATTGGTGGGGTGGGGAATTTCATATGAACTCATTTATTTCCTGCAGAAAATAACTTTCTATGACTATTTCTTTACAAGCCTTCCTTTTCAACTGCATAGCCTATCTCGCCCAATGCAAAGGCATGTAGACATTTCACAGTTACATCTCCTGTAGTGTGGGAGATCCATGAACAGAGATCATTCCAACATGGACAAATGCTTCTTCCACAGCATATGTGTTCATATGCACACATACAAACAAACTTACTTATTTTCATGGCTCTATTTTGATAGTTCAGTGAGTTAGGTATCTGGCTGCAGAGCCAGAAGTTGGGAGTTCACCATTCAGGCTTGTTGAAAAACAACCTTGATCATTGCTTTGTGTTTGAATGAGAAGTGGTTAACTGATGAAAACAGGAGTCAGCTTATCAGATTTTCCCTTGTGTGATGTCACTTTGAGAACCATTGTGGGCAGAAGAGGGCATCTTGTAGATCATCTTGCCTGCCACCACTTGCTTAGGCTATAACTGCCCCTCGTTACACAAAACTCAACAACAGAAAGGGGGTATTCTTTTCACATTGAAAAATGATAGGATAGCTTGTTGAGTTTCAGATATTCTCCACACTACCGCAGGCCCCCTCATTTGATGAGGACAATGAGATCTATAATCTGAATTGAGTTAATAAAGTGTGGCCCGTATTTAATCCAAATCACTGTCTCGCATCTTCATTTCGGGTCCTGGGAGGGCAAACAGTTCTTTGGAATTCCTACCTCCTATTTTCAAATGCAGTTAATTTTTGCAAATTGAATGACTTGACTGAATTCAGGCATATATGCTTTCTATTTCTATGTAAAACCACTGTATACAGCCTTTGCATTTCTCTGGAGGATGCACAGGTCAGTATATTTCTTAAGAAGGCAGGATACAGGTCCTAATTCTCTAGAGAAGAAGGGAATACCTCTTAGCAGTTTAGACCACCTAGCTTTTCGCCTTCCTATATGAATAGTGTAAGGAGTATATTAAGTCTATTAAGGAAGCTTCCTTCGCTGAGACCTCTGCAGTATTTGTCAACGCTGAATAGTGCACATAGGCCATTCTCGTTGTTTGGATTCCTTACAACATTGATTCAGGACCCACTCAGATCCATAAAAGAACAGACAGTACAGGCAAGTTAACACCACTGTTTCTGTGCAGCATCAGGACATCCACATCTACTCTGCAACTATTCAGGATGATGAATATTGGAAAATAAGCATAAGAACTGCTGGATCAAGCCAAGGGCCCATCTAGTCCAACTTCCTGTATCTAACAGTGGCCCCACCAGATGCCCCTGGGAGCACACGAGACAACTAGATACCTGTCTCCTGAATAAAGTACTTCTCCAATGTATAAACAAACCCAGTATCTCATATCTTGAGCTGAATGCAAAGCCAACGCAAAGTGTATTTTGCAAAGAAATACCACAGGGGTTGATTTGATCTTGCACCCACTTATCAAATCAACCCTGAGCTCTCTTTAGAAACAAAATGACTACACTGAGATGATCATACTCTAGGCATATGATTAGAAGATATAACTTACTGGAAAAGATAACTTTGCTGGGAAAAGCTGAAGGCAGCAGGAAAAGAAGATTGAATGTGAGATGGATTGATTCAATAAAAGAAACCACAGACTTGAATTTCCAAGACCTGAGCAGGGTTGTTAATGACAGATTTGGAGGTCACTGATTCATAGGGCTCTGTAAGTTGAAAGTGACTTGACAGCACATAACTACATCAGTAGTGTCTTGTGTATTATTGAAAAATGTAAAATTAAAATAATTGGCAACTCCAATGTTTATAAATTCTACTTTAATATGTAGGCTTATTGAAAAATGTAAAAATAATTGGCAACTCCGATGTTTATAAATTCTACTTTAATATGTAGGAAAGTGGCAAAGTTTAAGCAGTACTACACTGTAGACATCAACAATGGCAAGGAGATTGTGCCCTATTATGAAAGTTGTCCCGTAGAAACATTCCATTCATGTCTCCCCCACCACTTTTTTTCACACAACTGGAAAAAAAGGAGATGACTAAGGATGGCTCCTAATTAGCCAAGATGGCTAAAAGCTGGCTGAGCTGTGCTGAATCAAAAAACCTCCCAGCCTAGGGATGATGGAATTTAGTTAGGACTGTCTTTATCCTGGCCTAACTTTGTGTTGCCATAACGTTTGTGAGTCTGGGCTTAGAGGAGTTTGGACCTGGCAGAACCCAGCTTTTCCACTTCTTTATTTGGATCTTGTGCTGGCTGACCTCCTGCTGATAGCTTCCAATCAGCACAAGGGCAGTTGTGCCAGCACAAGAGGCTTTTCTCCATTCCAACCCTACAATGGCTAATACATTTATGAGTTAGGATGGCATTCCGATGCAGAAAATTCTAGAGAAATTCACAGTAGACACTGAAATGAGCTCTGATTGTCTTTGTGAGACTACGGCATGAAAGTAATGCTACAAAATGCAGTGGGACTTATTTGTTATTGTTTTAAATTGGGGGAGGGGAGAACAGCTGTATTCTATTACATATGGAGAGAAAAAACACATCAATTGTTTTGCAAGAATGGCGACTAAAATACTTGAGAGAGAAAAGAATATTTTTTTGTATTTCATATAACTTTTTGAGATGAACAAAAATCTGTTGTACAGAACTTCCTAAGTTCACATGACACTTCTGAAATCAGACACGACTGAAATTGTTCGATATTTTTAATACTGGTTAAAAATAAAACTTTGTTGGCTTTCTACCTACTTCATTATTGTCTCCTTTCCCCACTGTATGGGATGAGTTTATTTTTAACAAAATAATCCTTCTATATTCCCTACTGTTTCTGAAATGAAAGAGGACTCTTTCAGATTATTCGTGGTTCTAAGTTATAAAAAAGCCAAAGCTTGAGTATTATAAAGACTTGCCTAGAGAGAACACTCTACCTTAGAATGAAATGAATGAACATAGTGAATAAAAAAATTCTACCAGGACTTGGCTGGCTGCCAACTCCATTTAAAATCTTTTTCTATCTTAGGAAAAGATTCTAAATGGAACCCAACTCACACAAACTACATCTGCCCTTTCGTTCGTTAATTTGGTCTCCAGCCCATGGCTTGAGCATTGACCAACATCTAAGAGCAATGGAGGAAGAAAAACTAGATGAGGATGACTGTGATGATTGCCCAATGTCACTCCTGTCACTCATAGTCAGGATCTCATTTGCATGAGCCTATGAGAGGATTGGAAGGGTGGAGTCAACGGATATGTAAAGGTTTGGCAGAAAGAGAGATAGGATAAGAAAAAGATAAGGGAGAGATAGAATTTGCAGAGAGATGGCCAAGATAGTCAGAGAGGTCGTGAGAGGACAGAGAGAAGTAACACATACTAATAGAGATAAACTGGTCAAGATAAATAAATAGAGCAGGGGGTGATTGGTTATGTGGCAAGATATATGGTATTTTAATGATTTGTTTGTGTACAATGAATATCTGAAGAACATATGTGATTATGATTAAGTTTGATACACTTCAATAAATAAGTTCTGTTGGCAGTTACCAGACAAGTGTTTGACTAAAGTCTTTTATATTGTGGATAAAGGAAATCCACTGGGGGCAGTGAGGGAAAGAGAAGACTGAACCTTTTATGAGGACACAACACCTAG